ACTTATTAATTAATAAGTATTAATTACACTTATTAATTAATAAGTATTATTAATTATAGTCATCAAGGTATACATTATCTTGCAGGACTTACTTATGTTATAAAAATTTAAAAAGTTGTAACTTGGACTTCCTTCATCCATTTCACCCACCCCCTATCTCTTGCCTCTGGCAACCACTGATCTGTTCTCTGTATCTGTCAACTTGTTTTTTTTTTAATTCCACATATAAGTGAGATCATACAGTGTTTGTCTTTCTCTGACTTATTTCACTTAGCATAATATATGTGATTTTTAAAGATATCTCCAACAGGTGCAATGCGTTGATTTCTACTGGTGACACACAGTTCCTGGTTATGCTGTAGTGCTTTGGTGCCTATGTTCATAACTGAAGCAAATGCTACCTTTCTTTTCAGGTTGGTAAAGGCTAAAGGTATAATTTTTTCCTTACAAGTTTATGGACTCTGATGGTCTCCCCAACCCCTATCAATTGACACCCTCCCGCAGTGGTTTCCTGGGCTGGGGGAGCAGGGAATCCCTGCATAGAAACATACTCTGCATTCAAAATAAATTGACATGGAAAACTGTGGGTGCTGGGTTAAACCCCCCCCCCCACATCAGTCCCTTTGGACCTTTTCTGAACTCAGATGGCAGGTGACATTTGAACGCGCATGTTAAGAATTGTGCCAGAAAGCATGTCAGTAAAACTAGCTTTTATGGAACATTTCCAGCATGCCAGCCATTGTTCTAGGGACTTAAATATACTGTCATGAATCCTCAAATAGCTTTGCAAAGATTAAGGAGTAAGCTCCATTTTCAGGAGAGAAAACAGAGAGAAGCCCGATAATGTGGATAATGTTGCAGGTAGGCTGAGAGCAAAGGCTTTTTCACCAGTTTTCATACCCTGCATCAAAATGAACTGGGAAGCATAGTAAAACTGCAGATTCCAGGTCTCACCACAGAGATTCTCTATTGGTCTGGGATGATTCTCTAGAACTGATGTTTTATTTTTCTTTAATATGAAATTTATTGTCAAATTGGTTTCCATATAACACCATTGGTTTCCAGTACTCCTTCCAACAGGTGCCTTCCTCATTGCCCATCATCCACCCTCTCCTCCCTCCCACTCCCCATCAACCCTCAGTTTTTTGTTTTTTTTTTCCTTCACTCCCCCATGGTCTTCTGTTAAGTTTCTCAGGATCCACATAAGAGTGAAAACATATGGTATCTGTCTTTCTCTGCCTGACTTATTTCACTTAGCATAACACTCTCCAGTTCCATCCACATTGCTACAAAAGGCCATATTTCATTCTTTCTCATTGCCAAGTAGTATTCCATTGTATATATAAACCACAACTTCTTTATCCATTCATCAGTTGATGGACATTTGGGCTCTTTCCATAATTTGGCTACTGTTGAAAGTGCTGCTAGAAACATTGGGGTACAAGTGCCCCTATGCATCAGCACTCCTGTATCCCTTGGGTAAGTTCCTAGCAGTGCTATTGCTGGATCATAGGGTAGATCGATTTTTAATTTTTTGAGGAACCTCCACACTGTTTTCCAGAGTGGCTGCACCAGTAGAACTGATGTTTTAAACTGGCCCCCTGGGATGACTGATGCCAAAGCTGCTTGCAAACTGCTCTTGGAGACACGCTGATTTAAAGCTACATCTGCCTGGTTCTGGTCACTCTGGTGTTTGTTCCCGGGAAGTGACTGCAC